AATGCTATTTATGAAATGCGCTAAAAATATATTTTTAACGCAAACGTGTTTAAGATATGACTATCATTTTTAAAGAAACAGCTTTAGCTCAAATCCATTAAATGTTGAAGTTGAACACTTACCTCATTTTAGTAAGTCTAAGATCACAACATTTTTAATGTCTTGACGTTTCCTACGATCAAAAATGAGGAATCTTTAAACATATGAAAACTTCAGAAATATTTCATTTTATTGTTAGAAAATTTACCAGAACATTTGATCAATTAAGAGAAATCAAGGTAAGCATAGAAAACTTCTTGTAGGGAAAATTAGTGATTTAAGGCAAAGTTCCGTGAGCGTTTATAAACTTTATAAAACTTAAGGAAAATTTTAGAACTTAAAGGCAATTAAATCAATTCCAGTAAAATAGTGGCATTTATTTCGCTGCGGATCGGAAAATTCTGAAATTTCAGAATAATTTCGAAAATTTCACATAAATTGAGAGATCTTCAGATACATTTCGAGAACTTCATAAAATGGAACTTAGGTAGATCCGAGTACTTCAGGAACTTTTATGGACATTTCGGGAGCATCTCAAATAAGTTTAGTAAAACTCCAAAAACAAAGGGAATTTCAGGGGAATTCAGTTCAATTCGTTTCACTAAATAAGCGGGAAATTTCAAGAAGTTCTCAGATTTTCAGAGAACTTTAGAGTTGTTAAGAAAATTGAGGTTTACACATATGTCCAATAGTTTATGCCTTGCTTAAATATTATTAGAACAGTTCAATTATATTCATGGTAGTACAACAAGCTTCATGAGAATTGCAAACACTTTACAGAAGTTTAAAGCAACTTAAAGAAAGAGCGGATATCCTCAGAGCTGAGATATTCCAGAGCAGGTAAATAGCATCAATTTTAAAAAAGTTTCGAGAAATTCAGTGAATTGTTAACACTTTAGAGAAGATTCATGATCGTTAGGAAAATTGTGGAAATTTTAGGAAGTTCCAAAAAATTTAGAGAAGTTAAAAGAAATGATGAAAAGTATTGCGAGCATCAGGTTAGATTCTTGAACCTCAGATTAGTCCATTCCATATTCAAAGGAGATTTCTCATGAAAATTCGCATTGAGCTTAGGCTTCACATGAAGTCTAAAATTCCTCAGAAGTACCATGAAAGCAGATTGCAGTTGACATTTTTCTCATAGATTTTTTTCCCAGAGCTCCCGTGGAATCAGGTCCTTAAAAATTATAATAACATTCCATGAGCCTTAAAACTGTGCAAGGAATTTGACTCTAGATTCTTGAAAATTTCTTGAAGTATTTTAACTTTTCAGTTAATTATAAATTTATGTATTTGTTAATGTTAGATTAATCCATTCTGGATCAAAAAAGTTCAATGTGTGAATGAAAATAACCAGGAATATTAAATGTTTTTTTATTTTAAAATGTATTCTTAGCAAGGTATAAAATTCCCTGCGAATTCCCGGTTGCGAGGTAGAAGAAGCTTGGAGGTTAAGTCATAATCTTTCTATTTAATCTCTCGCTTTAAAGGTTCCTATCGTACATATTTAAGCGTTATGAGAATCTTATAAACCTCAAACATCAGAACGACTAATTTTCTTCCCTTTTTTACTACTATAAGTCTCTATTTGGTCACTTATTTCTTCAACATGGTCACTAAAATCACTATTTTTGACAGCATTGAACGCTACCAGCCCTACTTCTACGACATAAGCAACATTCAAATTGTTAATCCACGTTTGCTGCACAGCATGAAGTAGCAATTTCAGGTGAAATTGGGCACTGATTTCCGACATTTGTGCAATTGAAAATTTGAAGTGAAGAATGTACATGTATAGCCTACGTAGCGACCATTTTTCAACTCTACAAGGAATCACCTTAAACTAAACAAATTTCTCACAAAATATCACCCTGTACCGCAAATGCCACGGAACAACAAATTGCTACATGCGTTTCAATTAACATTGATTTAAATTTAAGAAGAGAAAGATTTTTGATAGACTTTCGGCGGTTTTGAAAATCCGGGAATCGGGATTAGGGAGAGATTGAAATATGGAATCTCGGGGGGGGGGGGGGATCTCTTAGGACTCAATTCCTCGAAAATTAAAGCACATCCAAACAATCTAACACCATCATCTGATAGAGCAAACTTCCTTTATTGAATGGCAATTTTAGTTTTCGTGGTAGTGTTTTGATTCTCGAGAATGTTGTGTTTAAAGCCATTGCTTACGTTGGGTTGTTCCGCCTATTTAAATTGTTGGTCCAGAAAGATTTCATAGCTACCGTGTGTGCAGAAAGGGTAGCGAATTGAATGAATGAACATGTTTGTTGCGGATCTTGATACTCACTTGATAATTAGAATTCTTTGCATTTGAAATTAAACACAGTTTTTACAATTAGCTTGTAAATCCGTTGAGCCCACTGTACTCTATTACAACAAAACTGTTATACTTACCTTACCTTTGTATTTGCCTTACCTTGGTACACGAATACTTACCTAACACGACATATACGGAGAGAGAATAAATGAAAATCAGAATTGAAAAGTACATCAAGCAAACCACACGCATTTTTTCATCGACTGCCCGAAAAGTGTCTATTACACCCAGACCACCGATTTGTCTTCTGTTCCGTTCACCGGTATAGTCGTTGGCCACCAAACTCGGCAAGATCCATCACATTATTTGGTGCCGAAACCCGGGATTTGTGTCGGAAAGTTAGAAGGTTTCGGGGTCGTTGATTGTGGAGCATCTAGAAGCAAGAAGATCTTTTGTTCCGCTAGTGCATATCGAGTTCTTTGTTCGCCGTGAGACCTCGTGCATCGAGAATCGAGATAATAATTTCTGCTCGCGGTCGTCGGTGGCAACTGCGTACGTTGTCTGAGAGTGAACATTTTCGTACCGTCGGTCGGTTTCAATTTCGTCATCGCTGACTGAAATTCGCGATTGGGACAATCCCAGTTCTTGTGACAAAATAATCAGCCGGACGTGAAAAGTGTTCAACACCACCATTTTGAAGAAGTGCTTCTTTTTCGAGCTTCTCACAATAACAGCACGCGCAGTGGTTTGCCCTGTTATCGACTACTGTGAGCTGCTTCCTTGGTGCCGCTGAGGATAACGGAAGACTTGTCGTTCCTGCAGACCGCATCAGCGCTTGGATAACGGAAGGCTTTGTTAAACCAAAAACCAACTTGGAGGTTAAGTACGCCGTGAGCAGGTGGGTGCACATTTTCTTTCTTTACTTTTTTTGAGTAAAATGGCTACCGCGACTCGGAACAAAAAAGCCAAGCAAATCAAACAACTGCACGCCAAGCGTGCCTATATTTTGGGATCACTTGATTTGATCCGTGATTTCGACGATAATTATGACGAAACAAAATCGCTTGAAATTCCCTTTCGTCTCGAGCGGCTGGACAAGCTTATGGAGGAGCTTGAATATGTGGAGACTGAGCTAGACACACATCGTTCTGGCGATCCAGTCTTTTCGGATACTCGTGCAGAACATCAGACGATGTATTTCCGTTTAAAGGGTTCTTTGTCAAGCAAACGACCTACTCCTCCACCAGCTAATCCTCCTGCTCCCGTACATGAAATTCCGGCAGTTTCTTCTGGTGTGCGTCTTCCGGAATTAAGACTTCCCGAATTTGATGGGAGTCCGGAACATTGGTCAGGATTTCACGATTTGTTTAAGACAATGATCAATGACAACGCGTCACTCTCCAGCATCCAGAAATTGCATTATCTCCGTTCTTCTCTCAAAGGAGATGCGGCGCGCATTATTTGCTCTCTTCCAATGGCTGCGACCAGCTACGTCATCGCTTGGAAAATGGTATGTGATCGCTTCGAAGACAAAAATCTGCTCATCAAGCAGCATATTTCTGCCCTGTTCTCGATTACACCTTTACGGAAGGAGTCAGCAAGTGAGTTGTTAGATCTTGCTGATGAATTTGAGAAGCATGTGCAAATTTTGGATTCCCTGGAGACGAAGGCGCAACATTGGGATTCTGTATTGGTGGAACTCTTGTTTAGCCGGATGGACACTGACTCACAGAAACTATGGGAAAACCAGCGGGACAAAACAATACGCCCTTCGTACGAAGAATTACTGCAGTTTACACACGAGCATTCTCGTACTCTGCAGTCACTTAAGCTCTCCCAAAACGCTATTTCCTTCGTGGAGGCCAAGCCTTCAAAATCTCGCTCGATAACCAACCACTCAGCATCTGAGCAGGTTCTGAGATGCGTAGCTTGTAAACAATCACACTTTTTATTCCAGTGTGAGTCTTTCCGGGCCCAGACTGCCCAGCAACGCTTCGACCTGGTCAAACGGAGCAATCTTTGCCTCAATTGCTTGAAAGCCACGCATCAAGCGAAGAATTGCAGTGGCGGAGCCTGCAAATATTGCCAGAGAAAGCATCACACACTGCTTCACCTCTCACCTAGTTCCACATTAATTGCAACAGAAGCTCCACCACACACCCAACCTACCAACACCCAAATGCTCCAGCAGCAAATGCACTCTGTCAACACTCAACATATGTCGCATTCTCCTATCGTGCCGCAATTATGCGACACCGCAGTCGCTTCGGTCGATCGTTCGGTCTCGTTGTTGCCGCCGCCGGTTTCCGCGTCCTTTCTCGCACCGTCCGGTACAGTCTCACCTCCCTCCAATGCCTGTCCAACAACCTCATCTAATGTTGTAAGTGATTCCACAGTGATGTTGTTCACAGCACTTGTCAAGATCCGGGACAACCGTGGACAATACCAACTCGCTCGTGCACTCTTGGACAGCGGGTCACAATCAAGTTTCGTGTCCGAAGCGTTATGCCAACGGCTTGCGTTAAATCGCAGAAAAGTGAACGTGCCGGTGAGTGGCATCGGACAAGCTCTAGTAAACGTTCGCTATATAGTGATAGTACAATTCTCCTCTCGTTTCGGATCACATGATCATAATTTAGAATGCTTGGTGCTACCCAAGTTAACCGTTTGTCTACCAACAAAGACGGTTGATATTAGCACCTGGAAGATCCCTAAGCATCTACCGTTGGCAGATCCTCAATTCAACGTGAGTCACGGCATTGACCTCATCGTTGGTGCCGAGTTGTTCTCGATCCTACTGCAAGCAGAGCAAATTTCGTTCAATGACCACCTCCCGGTTCTACAGAAAACCAGCCTTGGATACATCTTTTCTGGCAAAGTTCCTACGAGCACACCCGCTCAAATTACGTGTCTAGTGTCTACTCTTGACAGCCTAGACGCCCAAGTGAAGAGATTCTGGGAAGTGGAAGACTTCGACCACGGCAAGACTTTCACGGCCGAAGAACAACGATGTGAAGCTCACTTTGCCAAAACTCACACCCGCAACGCTGAGGGACACTATGTGGTCCATCTACCAGTTCGCCAAGAGATGTTACCTCTCATCGGGGAGACATGGCCAATGGCCGCTCGACGATTCACCGCTGTGGAGAAACGCTTTCGGACCGATGATGCTCTTCGTACAAGCTACGTGCAGTTCATGGACGAGTACCAACAACTCGGCCATATGGAGGAGGTGAAGACGCGCGTCGCGTTGCCCCAGTTTTTCTTGCCCCATCACGCAATTCATCGTCCCGATTCGTCTACAACCAAGATAAGAGTCGTGTTCGATGGCTCGGCCAAAAGCAGCAATCAGCTCTCCTTGAACGACCTTCTGTTAACAGGACCAACAGTTCAGCCTTCAATGTTGTGCATCGTCATCAACTCTCGTTTCCACCGATTTGTCATGAAAGCAGACGTGGAGAAAATGTATCGTCAGGCTTTGGTACATCCGGACGATCGACTACTACAGCAAGTTGCTTGGCGCAGAAAGGAGTCAGAGCCACTGAAAACCTACTGTTTGAACACCGTCACCTACGGCACATCCCGGGCAACCCGGGTCCTAAATCAGTTAGCTGACGATGAAGGGCATGACTTTCCACTGGCTGCCTCCATTGTCAAGAAGGACTTTTATGTTGACGATGTCTTGACAGGAGCCGACAGCATCGAAACACTAGTCGACACAAGCACCCAACTGGACGGCCTCCTAAAGAGAGGTGGTTTCAATCTGCGCAAGTGGAGCGCGAACCATCCTAGTATCCTGGAACACTTTCCAGACGACCTCAAGGAGAATCAACCGTCTCTAGAACTTGATCGCACCTCATCCATCAAAACACTTGGTCTCTTATGGTCCCCGGAAAACGACGATTTTGCGTTCAAAGTTCCTGATCTTCCACAACTACAACGAGTTACAAAACGCATTGTCCTGTCGGAGATGTCGCAGCTTTTTGACCCTTTGGGTCTCATCGGTCCAGTAGTCGCCAGTGCGAAGATGTTCGTTCAGCGGCTATGGCAAGAGCAACTGAATTGGGACGATGGACTTCCGGAGACTCTTCAATCTTGGTGGCTGTCCTTTCGAGAATCGGTTGGTGTCATCCGAGATCTTCGTATACCACGATGGGTATTCAGAGATGATGCAGTAAGGTACGAGCTGCACTGCTTTGTCGACGCTTCTTCGAAAGGATACGGAGCATGTATCTACGTAGTATCGCAAGGGCCGACTGCCACGCGAACAAGCAATCTCCTCATAGCGAAATCCCGGGTCGCTCCAATCAGTGGCTATTCCACGCCACGCTTGGAACTCTGTGCAGCTGTTCTGGGAAGTCAGTTGGCTGACAGCATCCGTAAAACCACTAAGTTTAACGCCAAAATCACCTTCTGGTCGGACTCGACGATCGTTTTGCACTGGATAAATTCCCCGCCGTCCGCGTGGAAAATATTCGTATCCAATCGAATAGCAGAGGTCCTCAAAACCACAGAAGGCTCCCAATGGCGGCACGTTCCAACGCTGCAAAACCCTTCCGATCGAATTTCTCGCGGAGTTCATCCCGAAGACATCAGCGATGATGCACTTTGGTGGCATGGGCCACCATACCTGCTCTCAGGACCAGAAGCCTGGCCAGATCCAATAGTACCATTAACCTCGACCGACATCCAACAACAAATTGTCGAGCAGCGGCCGACGGTCGCACTCGTTTGTGTCACGTTCGACGATTCGCTCATCCAGGACTTTTCGCAACTGTCTCATCTTCTTAAGGTTGCTTCGTACTGCCTTCGTTTCGCGAAGAACTGCTAATTGCCGAGCCATGCTCGAACTTTCGGGCGAATCACACCGGTCGAGTACAACAATGCCCTCAAATCTCTCATTCGAGTTGCACAAGGAACAACCTTCCATCAGGAATTGCGATATTTACATAACCACGTCCAAGAGTCTCTGGCTCTGCGAAAGGCAGACTTCAAGTCTCCGCTCAAGGACATTGACGTGTGGATTGATGACGCAGGGCTTCTTCGTTTGAACGGCCGCCTAGCGCAATCACCTGGCACCTTCGACAGTCGCTTTCCGATCCTGTTACCTGCCGATCATCATCTCTCAAAGTTGATTGCCAGATCAATTCATCATCAAACTCTGCACGCTGGACCAACACAACTGCTCGCAACCATCAAGCAGCGTTTCTGGCCGATCCGTGGTAAAGACCTCGCTCGAAGGACAGTCCATCGTTGCGTGACGTGTTTCCGTTGTCGTCCGAAAGCAAGCAATCAATATATGGCGCCGTTACCTGCTGCGCGCATTACACCATCTAAAGTCTTCGAACACACGGGGCTGGATTACTGCGGGCCGTTTCTCGTTCGTCAACTTGCGGGAAGGGGCGCTTCGGTCAAAGTCTGGGTCGCAGTGTACGTGTGCTTCGCCGTCAAAGCCGTTGTGCTGGACATCGTCGCCGGGATGCCAGCTGCTGCGTGCGTCAATTCGTTGAGGCGCTTTGTGAGTCGCGTCGGTCGCGTTCGCGTTATACACTGCGACAACAGCACCTCGTTCGTCGGCGCGTTCCGCGAGATAAAGGAGATGCGACAGCAACTCGTCCAGCAGCTGAAGTCCAACGAATGGGCTAACGAGTGCCTGGAAAAAGGTATCGAGTTCCAGTTTATTCCCCCTAGAGCACCGCATTGGGAAGCTGCGGTGAAGAGCTTCAAGCACCATCTCGTCAGGATCATCGGCTCATCACCTTACCACTTTGACGATTTTCGCACGGCTGTCGCTCAGGCGGAAAGCATCATGAATTCCCGTCCTTTAACTCCACTTTCCAATCATCCTGAAGACCTCTCCGTGCTCACACCTGTACATTTCCTGCTGGGTGAACCAGCCGTCTGGCTTCCCGAGCCAGACTACTCAAGCATTCCCCTTAATCGACTTTCCCACTTCCAGACGACACAGCGAGCCATGAACGACTTGTGGAAGCGCTGGTCTAAAGAATACATCGACCTGCTGCATCAGCGTCCAGCTAAGTGGAGGAAGATCCCTACCGACTTCGGGGTCGGTGCTATGGTTGTGTTGAAGACCGACAACGCTCCACCCAAACATTGGCCTGTCGGACGCGTCGTAGCAGTCTACCCAAACAAGGACAACATAATACGGGTAGTGGATGTCCGCACTCAAGCCGGAATTCGTCGTCGTGCAACAACAGAGCTGTGTCTGCTACCGATTGATGACATCCCAGGTAACACAGCAGCAGGGTTGACTGATTCAACCCAGCTGACCGATGAACCTTCCTCATCTTCTGTCGGTTGAATGCTGCGCTTCAACGGGGGCCGAGATGTTGCGGATCTTGATACTCACTTGATAATTAGAATTCTTTGCATTTGAAATTAAACACAGTTTTTACAATTAGCTTGTAAATCCGTTGAGCCCACTGTACTCTATTACAACAAAACTGTTTTACTTACCTTACCTTTGTATTTGCCTTACCTTGGTACACGAACGCTGAAATGAAATACGAAATACGAAACACGCACACGAATACTTACCTAACACGACATATACGGAGAGAGAATAAATGAAAATCAGAATTGAAAAGTACATCAAGCAAACCACACGCATTTTTTCATCGACTGCCCGAAAAGTGTCTATTACACCCAGACCACCGATTTGTCTTCTGTTCCGTTCGCCGGTATAGTCGTTGGCCACCAAACTCGGCAAGATCCATCACAATGTTAAAAGGCAACAGGAGAATACGAAAATATCACCAAGGGACATGCTTGGCATAAACAGTTGTACACACCAACTGCTCATTTGGTAATAAATTTTCACTCAGATGTTGAAATTTGTTTTCCTTTAAAGTAATTGATAGATTAGGCTCATAGTTTACTATAGATATGCGAAGATTAGGTAAAGCTTAACATTTGAATCAACAATAATCAATTTAACATTTAAATTCCGAGATGTGTAGTGAGCATTTCTCACCTCAATTTTACAACGCAAAAACAAAGTTTACTACAAGAATTAAAATCTACTTTTTTTTACATATCTATAACAAGCTTACACTCTATTATATCTATTGCTTGAAAAAGATCTATGTTCCGTCAACTGTGTGCAAAGTTATTTGCAAATGAGCAGTTTGTGACCAAAACTGTGTATGCCAAGCATGCCAAGGGATAATCCTTAAATGGAGGAATTAGTGCTTTTACTAGTTTTTTCTTCGTACATTCTAAGTCAGAAATATAATTACGTTTATCCAGCCATAAAGCACTTAGTGGAAAAAACGATCAAAGATTTTTGTGACTGAGTTTGAGTTACCCAAAAAGTGGTTCCCAAGTTTAAAAAACATCAATCTCTCAAAATGTTACGTTCTCTGGGAATGGTTCTATAGTCCATTGAATGTATTGTTGTGTATCATATTATATTGAATGGAAGAACCGTGCATCAATCAAAGGCCGTGCGTACTCTCTCCGAATGCATAACGAAGCTCTATATTTACGGTTTCACCGAGTCCATCCCGAAGTTCAAAATGTTGTTTGGTGATCAGAACCGATTAAATCACGCCTCACTATCCACACGCCTGCTTGTGGAAGTCCAGCTTAAGCATCAATCTGAGCTCGAGCTCTTTTGCACTCTTTGGAATGGACATCATTGCTCTTGTTATGTGAGGGATGAACTAACTCACGATGAATGAGCATCTATACGCAATAATCTGAGTTCAAGGAGTTTAGGCAAGCCTGTGCAAGACCTGTCATGATTACCTGAGTTTTGTCAAAAAAACGTAAATATTAACGCTGTATGCAGCGAAGAATTGATGAAATATCTACCTTGACAAAAAATACAACTATATCGTAAATTCTCCAACAATCGCAAAATTGTATGCCTAAGACCACTTGTTAGAACCCTAATCTACCCAACAGTATCAAACATTCTGCCCTGAAATGCCCGAAAAATAAACAATTATACCTTTCAAATATAAACACATAAGCCAAAATCATTACATGCTTCTACCTTTATAATTACTGTTAGCGCTTTGAAATGCATTGCTTCTAAAGTTCAACAGGCCTCCCTTAGTCGGTAAAGGCGCAGGTACAAAGCAAGACCATGCTGGAGGTGGCTGGGTTCGGTTCCCGGTCCGGTGTAGGAATTTTTCGGTTTGGAAAATTTCTCGACTTCCCTGGGCATAAAGTATGATTGTACTTGCCACACAATTATACTAATGCATAAATGTTACTGGCATCGAAAGCGCTCAATTCATAACTGTGGAAGTGCATCTAGAACACTAATAGCGAATTCGTTTATTATTCAGTTCCAACCTGGATCGGGTATCAAGGTTGGACCTGCTTGTTTTCTGACACACGTTCAGTCAAGCCGACAACGGTATAAAAACAAAACAAAGGAACCCAAAATGGCTGCCACATAGTGCAATGGAGAGTTAGAAACACAGTGGCGGGCAAAATGATGTGCTAGCTTTTTGAGTTTTACCATTTTGGCCAGCTTTCTTGCCCAAATACTCCTCTGTGTAATGGTCCGAATAATTCATTGCAATAATCACTAATGATTATACACATCCTCAACAAAGAAAACTTAAACATCACAATAAACGCGTCGGAGGAAAAGTAGCAAAAGTATATTCAATCGTTTGACTTGATGTTGATCAGTTTCTGACTTGATAACCATTTTGAAGCTTATTCCGAACTTTACAGAATATTGGCTCAATCAAGCAATTGTTAACAAATACTGAGAAAGTCACGAACGAGTTCTCAATTTTGCGCTGGAAAAAAGGCGCCAAAGCAAATGCACACGGCGAATGAGAACGACTCAAATTTGAGTTTAGTTCACTCATAATCGCCAAAAGTGCAGGAACTCAGCGATGAGTTGATTTGCCTCATGTTTTCCCAGGTTTTTCCATGATTTTCCAGGGAAAAAATCCTGAATTTGAGAAAAGTAAAGATTGGATTCACCCAGTCTATTGGTACTACTCCGAGACTGAATAAAATTTTCGTCAATTTCCTCATTTTCCGGCAGATTTTTTAGCGTCCATGAGACAAATTTTACTCATCGCTGAGTTTCTGCACTTTTGGCGATTATGAGTGAACTAAACTCAAATTTGAGTCGTTCTCATTCGCCGTGCAATAAAATTAATATTTTTCAAGCAAAATAACTGAAAGTAATCGACTCCGACTTGACTCAGATTTAAAAATTACCTTCCACCGCTCCAAGCAGTAAATTTCAATCAACATTTCGTTCGCCACCAATTGCTTTCAACTGAATAACCACAACCCACCCAGAGCATTCGAATTAAACAAATTAAACAAATTCCACTTGGAAAAACTAAACATTGTGGACGGCCATAAATTCCAGCATGCCACTCATCGGTCCTCCTAATAGTCCTGTTAAACATCATTTTGCTCAATCGATTTCCAATAAAATCCCATTACCGTTAGGCGGCACTCAGCGCTACCATGAATCATTCATGGGGCATATAGCATCACGCCCCATTGAGCCCGTTGCCCAAAAGTGCTCCCATTATCCCCCAAAACGGCGACCGTGGCCTTCCAGCAGGCAGTACCCGCTTCAATAATCCCATTAAAAGTTGATATATTTATTTATCTAATAACAGTTGTGGCGAATGATGGAAGCTAATCCCGTAAATTACATAAGCTGGAGATTTGCACGCGAGTGAGCAAGCCTGGAAACCTCCTACCCATCATCCACACCTGCGCCGGAGTCCATCTGTCCCAGCGCCGGAATGGTCGGGCTTAAAATTTTAACAATCGCAAAAACAAACATTTCGCACGCAAACGGCCGCGGCAGCGAGAGAGAGAGAGAGAGAGAGAGAGAGAGAGAGACAGAGAAGAAAAAAAAACTGACCGAACCGAACGAGCGAGTCCCGTTCCGTTTATTATCGAGAAAATGATTTACACGAAAAATTAAGGTGTGAAAATCACGAAGTCGTAAACATCTTGAAATTGGATGTTCCGTACAGCTTCAGGCAGCACTCTCCTCCAGAGGGCGAGCCGAGCCGCCGTCGATCGTATGGGCTGGTGGAAAATCGATTTAAGAATTAATAAAATATATCGATAATGGTACAATCGCATTATTACAACGAGGAACAAAATTAGACACTTTCTCATCGAGTGAAGTAGAATATGAAGCGACATTTTCTGAAAATCTCCATTCAGAATAACTGGTTTATCCACTGCTGTCGATGCGACAACTGTCGGATTTGGCGATGAAAAGTAATATTACTAAGAGTTGTGTTTGTTTGTCTGTGACTAAAGTGTGTTCCTTTGATTGCATAACAAGCCTGTTCCCCTAGTTTGAAGTCGTTCGGACTAGGCTTCGGGGTAGATCTTAATGTCAGTAGGCACCACGAAGAGGTAATCTATCAAGCGTTGCTGGGTAATCTTAATTTTAATCTCCTGCACTGAGGCCAATAAACTTAAGCATTTCATAAGGCTCGACTTTAAAACGACACATATGAATTTCATAAGCGTGACTTATGAATGATTTTCGTGTAACATGAGTTAGCTCCTCTACGCCTTTAACCATTGCACAGTGGTCCAGAATACAGATTTAGATGGAATGATATGTTTTGAGCCTGAAATTGAAACTTTAGACTGAAAGTCTCTTCTACAAAGTTGTTCCGTATAGTTAGACCCTTATTTTCATGACAATTAATTCTAGGGTAGTTCTTATTATCAATAAAATCAAAAATCGAACTTTTTTGTTTGAATAAATTAAGGTATACATTATTCGACAAAGTTATAGACGTGATTATTCATGTTTGCAAGAATCAGAACAGATGTCGCAATCTGCGTTGTTTGATTTTTTTCTCCCGCACCAGAAATTAGTGGCATTGCTAGTGATAATTTGTAATTTCAGTTCATATACGCGCTGCATGCTGAATAACACAGTAGGCTGCGCTTGAAAGCTGACCTGTTTTTCTTCTGATGTGTATTTTTCGACAGCGAATTAAACATTTTTTTATTTTAAATTTGTTAATATGTGTGCTGAAATTTAGTTTCAAGTGTTCATAAATTTATCATCTAGTGATGTATCGTGTTTTGCCTGTGATTGCCTTTAGTGACTCGATTGACCTTGAATCTAACCTCCAGAATCTACGACGCAGCTTCAATTATATTGTTCGATGTAGGTTCTCATTGCCTCCCGGGAGCCCGATTCTTCGAGTTCGGATGGCACACTTTAGGCGTGTAGTTCTATTGAGAGATTCGTCACCGTGGGCGATTTTGAACCCGGTCCGGTTGGTGAATTAGCCCGGGAACGTGTTGATAATGTGTCCGTCGCGA